TTTAGCTTCTTTTTTAAACAGAATCTAAGCCCAGAAATGAAGCCAGTCACACCTTTGAAGTGTTGTTGAACATGGCAACTAGGGAGGGAGGGAGAGAGGTAGAGATTTTCCCATGAAAATTCTTAATTTCCTTCCTGAGGGCTGCTCCTGACTGCTAGGTCCTGGGAATCAAATTTGGGATGAAAACCGGGCGGGCTAAGTAATTGGTCAGCACATCAACTTCCGTCTAACCCTGCTGTTCTCAGTATGGTCCTCCTACCAATAGCTGAGCTAGTGTCCTCACTCTGAAGGGCTTCTCTCTGAATTCCTCCCAGAGAGTCAACTCCAGTGCTACACCCCAGGGGGGAGGGCAATAGGTTGTTCAGGAGATCTGGGATCAAACTGCTTTTTAAACTGACTTCCAACCAGTTCTTCTGGTTTTTAGTTCCTCTTTTACCCTCATTTCCAGAGATATCTTGTCCTGCAGATTACTGAGTCTTTGGTGGGGGTCCTGTTTTGCAAACCAGCGGTACAATAGTGCTCCCCCTAGTGCTGGCTTGGAATTTAGCTCTCCTGTGTCTGAATTAGCTGCTTCTGCCCATCTGTTTTCCAGCATCCAGATGCTTCTGCTGTTTTTCTCTCCTGATTTTCCAACTAGGTGTGGCTACAACTTCAAAACATGCCTTCACTGCTCTTTACTGGTGTTTGGTAGTTTTTAAATCTGTAATCCTTAACTGGAAGTTTGAATTTAAGTTTTGATTTTCTTATTAATTTAGGAGGTATTATGAAGTGTGTTTGGTTTTTTATTTCTACTTGTATAGACCTCTCTCTCTCTCTCTCTCTCTCTCTCTCTCTCTCTCTCGCATGTACACCCTCACTTTCATTTTGTTCTTAATTTCTGTCTTTTTTCTTTTGCACTATTGTTAATGAATGTGTCTCCATGTCATATTTTGAAAAATATTTTTGAAAAAGATCAAGAACAGTGAGTATTATTTTCTTTGTTTATGTGTCCTCCAGGGCTATGAAATAAGAGCATAAAAGTTCACAGCTGCTCTATTTTCTTGGCTGGTTATTTTTCTTATGAAACATTTCTCTTGTGTTCTTATTACTTTGAATTCAATTTTATTTGATTTTGATGTTGCTAAATCTACTTTCATTTTGCTCACATTTGCTGGCTTATTTTTTGTCCATTGTTTTGTCTGTCAACTTTTTTGTTTATTGCTCTTTTCTTTTGAAAGCCAATTTTTCACTTTCTGTCTTTTAAGAGACAGATGAATCTGACCTATTCACATTTATTATGACCACTGAAATGTTTGTACCTATTCCTTGCTATCTAATTTATTTATTTTTCATTTTCTATTTGCTTCTCTCTCTTTTTTTATGTTTCTTCCCCCTCATTTTCTTCCCATTTGTTGAAATGATCACATTTAACTTGTTACATTTTTTTCTGTCTTATTTGTATGTTTTGGAAATTACACTTTCCATGTCAATTCTATTCCATGTCTATTCAAAGCCAAGAAACTCACAAGTAAAGAATTGGGATAACCAGACTTAAAGTGAGTCCACAAACAGTGGAAATGGACCAGGTTGTTCAATATGGAATGTGGCAGGCATTCTTACAGCCCAGGAAACATTTCAAGCAGAAGCTAAAACCACTCAGATGAAAAAAATCTGGATCCTCTATTAGTGAAACTGTAAGCCTGTCTACTGGAAACTATCAGGGACATGCATTGGGAAAAGCATACTCTCAGGCTCTGTTTTAAAGCACCTTCGCCTAGTCATTCCACCTGAACTTGTGCAAGTCACTTCCTCTTCCTCCATCTCTATGCTTTATGTCTTCTGCTGACCTTTCTGCTAGTGAGAAGGGGAAGAAAGAAGAGGTAGGGCTTTGGAAGAGAACAAGAGTGTGGACTGAGAGTTAGCCCCATCATGTGCTATGAGCTCTGGGTAGCATCAAGGGTAGCTAGACATCCCTACTCTAGACACATGATAGGCCATCTGTCAGGAGGGTGCTGATTGCCTGGGCATGTCTGTCATGTAACAGTGAGCAGGGCACATTTTCCCAGAACCAGATATTGAGAATTAGTTCATTATATGTTCATGCAATTAAATAGAAGCTTGTGGGTTATTTTGCCAGCAGGCATGCAGGTTTGAGATCATACTATATAAGCTAAATGAGTCAAATCTGACTAATAGTCTCCTTGAGATTGGGGACCTGTATAACGCAGCTGCCATTGCAGTCAGACTTTGTTGGGTAGGGGGAATGATGGGAAGGAATAATGTCCCGAGCATATCTGGGAGTGTCAGCTAGGCTCAGAAAGGCCAAAAGAGGAGCCCAGGGCATGACGCTGGCATCCCTTGGGAGATGCTGGCTCGCTTCGGGGACCTGATATCTCTCTGGAATTTGTTTTCATTCCTTATAAAACCAGGGAAGCTGGACAAGATCAGGGTTTCCTAAACTTTTGTTTAGATCTGCCTTCCTGACTTTTGTCATACCCACCTCTTATTTCTACTATTATTTATGTAAAAGTTTTCCTTAAGCAGTCTTACTTATTTCATATATATTTATATATATTTCATATATATTTATATATATTTCATATATATTTTTTAAAGATTTTATTGGGGAATTGGGGGAGGGGAACAGCTAAGTTGTTGTCCTTCAATCTTAGTTGTGGAGGGCATAGCAAGCTCAGCTCCAAGTCCAGTGGCACCACTTAGCTCAAGGTGCTGTGTTCAGTTAGTTGCGGGTGGGCATAGCCACCATCCCATGCGAGGGTCAAACCAGCAGCCTAGTTGTTAAGAGCACACGTTCTGGGCCAGCCGAGTGGCGCATTGGTTAAGAGCTGGCTTGGGATGCCAGAGGGCCCCGGTTCGGATCCCACATATGAGGGCCAGTGACACTGCCCTCTACAGCTAAGATGCTGAACAACAGCTCAACCTGGAGCTGGGCTGCTGTGAGTCGCGGGCGACAGCGTAGGCTGCAGCCCCTGTGGCAGTGGGTTGCCATGGGCTACAGTGTGTAGCCAGCAGCCAGCGTGAGCGGCCAGCAGCCGCAGTGAGCGGCCATCCAGAAGCCAGCGACTGATCTGCCTCACCCGGGAAGAGTGCAATGATGGTGACAACTTGGGCCAGTGAAGCAATGTCCTCCACAACTAGACTGAAGAACAAAAAAAGGGCAACAACTTGTCTGTTCCCCTTCTCCCCAATTCCCCAGCACTGTTCCCATCCTCCAATTCCCCAATTAAAAAAAATACACAAAAAGAGCACACGCTCTATCCACTGAACTATCTGGGCCATAGCTCAGCTCAAGGTGCCAAGTTCAGTCTTTAGTTGCAGGCGGACATAGCCCACCATCTCGAACAGGCAACCTTGTTAGGAGCATGTGCTCTCATCAGCTGAGCCATCCTGCCACCTGTTGGCAGCTCAGCAGCAGCTCAGCTTAGGTGCACCTCACTGGCCCATGTGGGAATCGAACCAGCGACCCCGTTGCTTAGAGCTCGCACTCTTGAGCGAGCTCTTAACCAACTGAGCCACTCAGCCGGCCCTCACTTATTATATTTTTTATTGTGGTAAAATATACATAATATATAATTTACCATTTTAACCATTTTTAAGTGTACAGTTCAATGGCATTAAGTACATTCACATTGCTATGTGACACATTTTATTTTTAACTTAGATATACTGTAGGAAGGAAAACATGGTATCACTCTCATGAATGGAAACTAGTATTACTTTCCATAAACAGAAGTTAACCATTAAAATAAACACAGGGAAGACAAAGTTATTAACTTGCAGTGAGTTATTGCTGCCACCAAAGGCTCTGAGATGAGGCCTGCTTCTCCCCCACACCCCTAATTTTTTTCAAGGGAGGATCCGAAGTATTGGAGAAGAGTTAAAGACATGTTAGCACCAAATTGACACCTTCTTGATATACTCAGATGGAATGAAAGAGGGGTGAAGTTCGGAGGCATTTTCTCACTGTGATGTTGACCTGTGCCCAGGTACCTCCTCCCACCTTGCCCATCACTCCTCCCCGCATCCCCATCACTGAACACCCTCTCTGCATCCCCCAGACCCCACCACCACACTGTGGGAACTGCTGAGATGAGCACAGGCTCTGCCCACCAAGGCTCTATGACTCTTAATCTCAGATAAGGAATCTTTCTTTTCTTTCTACTTGGAACAGTGACTAGCAGCATCCTTTGGGATGAATCCATTTTACCCAAGAGAAATGAGGGTCACTCCCAGATGTCCTTTCTCTCTCAGAATCCCATAACAAGGACTAGATTGCCCAAGCCCTGCAAGCCAAGCTGCCTTGGAAAGCAGCAAGTCATTACGGCGTGTGCATAGTCTAACAGTGAACTAGGCCACACCACAGCGGGGTGACATGACCAGCTCTGAGTTAGTGAACTTTGTGTCATTTGGGTGGAAAGGCAGATGGTACAGTGCTGGTAGAAACAGCAGCCACTGAGAGGCAGAGGCATCTGACACGAGGGTTTCACAGGGAGCCAGATTTCAATTAGGGGTTAGATTTATCTAGGTACCCATTTCTCTGGGCAATAGAAGTAATGAAATGTGTGTACCTGTGTCTCCTTAGAAGCACAAAGAGACTGAAAGGAGCACAGGGAAGACTTGTTGTCTCAAGCTGTGCACAGGTGCTGCCTATCAACCTCATAAGGAAACATGTTCATTACTGAAGCTGTGGATGTGTTTGAGTAAAACAAGCTATGACACCAGGAACATAGGAGCTGAGAACAAAAATCACTTTGGAAATCCTGGTGAAGTGTCACTCTGAGTGGAGTCAGTGCTTGAGTGGTGGAGGTCATGAGAGGATCTCCTGGGCATAGTTAACCTTCCCTTGGAGACCCACAGGCATGGAGACACAGACCAGCATTTCTCACCTGTGGCTTGCTCTCATCTTTGTCCTTGTAGTAGAAAAGCTGATCCCCACGCAGCACAAACCAGCGCTGCTGCCAGTTCTTCATGATGCTCCTCTGCTTCTTCAGCCAGCCTGCCTTCAGCACAGGGCCCAGCTTGTGGGGGCAGGGCAGCCGCCCAGGGCTCCGACTCTGCTCCCCCATCACCAGACTTTTGGAGCGAGCTGGAAGTCAAAAAAGCACACAGTGAGCGGGAAGGATGCATGCCTGTTGTCAGCCCTTGTCCCATCCTGGCATCCCAGCTGCCCTGTGACCTGGGCATGATCAGGCCCGGCATACTTCCCTCTTGGGTTCAAAGGAGCATGGGCTGGAGCATCTCAGCAGCAACAGCCTAAGGTTATTCACCTGGGATAGGTACACAGCCTGCCTGCCTGGTTAGTTCCTGCTATGTCTCTGGGATCCTAAGTTCTACATTTCCCCAGGTTTGTTCGTCTAGTCATGCATCCATGCATGCATCCACCCATGGATACACATATCTATTCTTCAATTTGTTCATGGTTCATTCATTTATTCATTCAACAACTACTTATTGAGTACCTACTAAGCATCAGCCACTGTTCCAGGTGCTGGGGATAAAGCAGTGAAGTAAGAAACATGAGACTTCCAAGTGATGATGGCAGAGTAGGTAAACACTGTGCTTGACTCCTCCCACAACCACTTCAAAATTACAACTAAATTTTAAAACAACGATCATTGAGAAACACATGAAAGCTAGCTGAACAGAAGTTCTATAACTAAGGATAAAAAAAAGAAGCCACATTGAGACTGGTAGGAAGGGTGAAGATAAAGAATAGGCAGGCCCCACGCACATGTTGTGGTGATTCAGAATCAAGAGGGATATCTTGGCTGCTGAGGTCCTACCCAGAGAAGTGATAGTTCCCAGCCCTAAACCAGGCTTCCCAGCCCAGGACTCCAGTGCTGGGAAAAGCAGTTCCCATAACACCTGGCTGTGAAAACCAGCTGGGATTGAGTCCAAGTGAGATGGAAGGCTGCTGGAGACCTCGGTACTGCAGGTCTTAAAGGGCCCATGTACAGACTCACTCTCTCACAAACTCATTCACTTTGAGCTCCAGTGTGGGGGCAGTAGCTCAAAAAGCACCAGGAACATATGGGGAGGAACTAAATTGACTAGCTTCAAGTAGAGAGGGCTGTAGAGACAGGGGTTGAAATGGAAATGCTGGCAGGTGCCATTGTTCCTTTGTTGAGCTTATTCTTGACTCAGCCAGCAGTCATAGGTGGTTGTCAAATCTGAGCTCTCCATTAACCTAAGTAACACCATTTGTCCTGCCCTGGTGATTCCCTGAGACTCTGCCACAACCAACTGGCATGCCAGGCTGAACCTCTTTCAGCAGCTCCTCCACATAAGCAGCCTGCCTGAGCTTTCGCTGTGGACTTTCCTAAAATCTCAGAAGGGTCCACAAACATCCCAAAAGCAGCATCTTGCCTCAGTGTTCACTGTACTCTTGCTTAGCTACCTCAAGACCAGCACAAGTGGTGACTGGTCTCAATTGGCATTGTAACTCCCTTTAGGTAGCCCAAGCCTGGCATAAGCAGTGGCCAGTCTTGGCATGGAACATAGCCTCAATTAAGTGGCCAGAAACCCGGCACAATTGGAAGCTGGCCTCAGCTCACATCATGGTGCCCACCAAAGGGTCCCATGACTGACATTAGTGGCAGCCAGCCTCAGTTTACAGACTAGCTTTTCCCAAGCACCTCCAAGCCCAGCACAAGTGCAAGGAACTGCAGGTCACTTTGTAGCTTCTAATAGACAGAACCAAGTCAAGCACAAGTGGGAGTTGAACTTGACTTGCATAACAGCCCCTCGCAATTGGCTCCATAACCAACGTACCTGGTGGCCAGACCATATCAGAGCACCACCCAATCAGTTCCACATATGACACATCCAAAAGGTGGACTCAGCAGGCGCTAGAGTGTTATTCTAAAGAGACTCTCACTCCATGGGACCAGCCCCTGCACAACTGCTCATCTGCTGTTATCACGGCCAGTCTTTACAGCAAGTCAGTGTTAGGGTCAATCCCACCCACTGATGTGCTAACAGCGATCAACTACAACAGGAGGGCAGACACAACCCACACAAGTGACACCTCTGAGGCACCCATCTCAGGTAACCAGGGAGACTATTCCACTGAGCTCTACAGGACACATCACATAAGGCCACTCTGCCAAGACCAGGAGATAAAGCAGATCTACCTAATATATAAAAACAAACACAGGGAGGCAGCCTAAGTAAGGAAACAAAGAAACATGTCCCTAATAAAAGAACAGGACCAAACTCCAGAAAAGGAAAAAAAAAACTAAAAAAAAAATGAAGACAAGCAATCTACCCAATGCAGAGTTCAAAAAGCTGGTTATAAGGATGCTCAATGAACTTAGGGAAAGAATAGATTAATTCAGTGAGAACTTTAACGAGAGATAGAAAACATAAAAATGGAGATAGAAAATATGAAAAAGAACCAGTCAGAAATGAAGAATACAATAACTGAAATGATGAATATATTAGAGGGAATCAAAAGCAGATTGAATGAAGCAGAGGATCAAATCACAATCTGGATGATGAGGTAGCAGAAAACACCCAAGAGGAATGCTAAAAAGGAAACATAATCCAAAATAAACCAAGGATAGTTTAAGGGACCTCTGGGACAATATCAAGCATACCAACATTTGCATCATAGGGGTACCAGAAGGAGAAGAGAGACAGCAAGGAATTGAAAACCTATTTGAAGAAATAATAGTGAAAAACTTCCCTAACCTGGCAAAGTAAATAAACATACAAATCCAGGAGGCACAGAGAGTCTCAAACAAGATGAACCCAAAGAGGCCCATACCAAGATACATCATAACTAAAATGTTAAAGGTTAAAGACAAAGAGAGAATCTTAAAAGTAGCAAGAGAAAAGCAGTTACTAACGTGCTAGGGAACTCCCATAAAACTGTCAGCTGGCCCATAAAACTTTGCAAGCCAGAAGGAATTGGCACAAAATATTCCAAGTGATGAAAGGTAAAGACCTACAACTAAGGTTGCTCTATTCAGTAGAGCTATCATTTAGAATTGAAGGAGAGGTATAGAGCTTTCCAGACAAGAAAAAGCTAAAGGAGTTCTAAAGGAGTTCAACACCATTAAACCAATATTACAAGAATTGTTCAAGGGACTTCTTTAAGAAGAAAAAGAAAAAAAAAAGAAAAAGTATGAAAAAGAACATATAGGGGGGCAACCCAGTCGGGACGCCCTATCATTTTGAGAGCTGTTACATTCTACCCTAAGAAACTGTCCTCTGCTGTAAAAATAAATAAATAAATAAATAAATAAATAAATAAATAAATAAATAAAATAAAAATTATAGGAAAAAAAGTCCTCACTGATAAAGGCAAACACTTAATAAAAGCAGTGGATCAACCAACTATAAAGCTAGTACAAAGGTTGAAAGATGGAAGTAGGAGATCATGTGTAATTACAACAATAACTTAAAGAATACACACAAACACAAACACAAAGGAAGTAAAATAAATAATGACAAAAACATAAACGTGGAAGGGGTGAGTAAAAAATGTAGTGATCTTAGAATGTGTTTGAACATAAGTGACCATCAACTTAAAATAGACTACTACAGACATAGCTTGGTATATATGAAGCACATGGTAACAACAAACCAAAAATCTATAAGCCATATGCAAGAAATAGAGAAAAAGGAATCCAACATGACACTATAGAAAATTATTGACATACAATAGAAGAGAGCAAGAGAATAAGAAAGGGACAGAGAACTGCAAAGCAATCAGAAAACAAAATAGCAACAACTACATACCTAACAATAATTCAAATGTAAATGGACTAAATATTCCAATCAAAGACATAGGAGGGCTGCATGGAAAAAAAAAAAAAAAGAAAAGACCTGTATATATAATGCCTACAAGCAACCCACTCCAGATTTAAAGACACACACAGACTGAAAGTAAAGGGATGGAAAAAGATTTCACACAAATGAAAACTAAAAAAAGTTGGAGTAACAATACTTATATCAGACAAAATAGACTTTAAAACAAGGGTTGTAACTAGAGACAAAGAAGGGCATTTCATAATGATAAAGGGATCAATCCAACAAGAGTTTATAACTCTTATAATCATCTATGCACCCAACTTAGAAGCATCTAAATATACGAAGCAAATATTTATGGACATAATTGGAGAGATCAACAGTAATACAGTCGTAGCAGGTGACTTCAACACCCTATTGACATCAATGGATAAATCATCCAGACAGAAAAATCAACAAGGAAACCAGCCTTAAATGACACATTAGACCAGGTGGTCTTAATTGATATTTTTAGAACTTTTCACTAATGAAAAGCAGAATATACGCTCTTTTCAAGTAAACATGGAACATTTGCCAGATACTCCTCATGTTAAGTCACAAAACAAGTCTTAGTAAATTTAAGAAGACTGAAATCATATCAAGTGTCATCTCTGACCACAATAGTACAAAACTAGAAAACAATTACAAGAAGAAAACTGAAAAACACAGAAATACATGGAGGCTAAATAACAAGCTACTAAACAATGAATGGGTTAACAAAGAGACCAAGGAAGAAATCAAAAGATACATTGAGACAAATGAAAATGAAAGCAACAACACAACAATCTATGGGATGCAGCCACAGCAGTTTTAAGACGGAAATTCATAGCAATACAGGACTAGCTCAAAAAACAAGACAAGTCTCAAATAGACAAATCTAACTCTACACCTAAAGGAACTAGAAAAATAAGAACAAACAAAGCCCAAAGTGAGTAGAAGGAAAGAAATAATCAAGATCACAGCAGAAATAAACAAAATAGAGTCTAGAAAACAATACAAAAGATCAATGAAATCAAGAGCTGGTTCTTTGAAAAGACCAAAAAAAAAAATGAAACCAAAAAACTGATAAACCTTTAGCCAGACTCATCAAGAAAAAAAAGAAAAAGGGCCCAAATAAATAAAATCAGAAATGAAAGAGGAGAATTGACAATCGACACCAAAGAAATACAAAGAATTATCAGGAAATACTACAAGCAATTATATGCCAAAAATTGGACAACCTGAAGAAATAAATACATTCATTCACAGAAACATACAACCTTCCAAGACTGAACCAGAATGAAACAGAAAATC